CGTATCTGCAAAAACTCGATTGGTCAGCTCATATCAGACCGCAGGCGCCTCGAAATGGTCGAAAATAAGATGCCAGGTGGCACTGCAACTGTGTTCTATAGTCTCTCTTTCAATGCAAACATCATAGAAAGCCCCGACTTCAACCCAGATCAACCTAGCACCTATGGGTTTATGATTGACGCGAATGACCTCTATGGCAGCGTTATGCAAAATGTACCTGTGCGTAACCTTGAGTAAATAGAGCATATAGAAGACGAAGTAAAAATGAAACAATTCCTTAAAACTTCTGAAGACTCTCTGATTGGATTTATAATAGAAGTTGATCTCGAAATCCAGAAGAACTACATATCAGACATCAGGATAACGCTTTAGCTCTTACCAAAGAAACAGAACCCCAAGGTTGGTTGAAACCATACCAAACAAATTCGCAGGGGCAGATGAAAAATCAAGAAACTGCAAGACGTTCAATTAGTAAGACCAATAATTTACTGCAGAAATTGTATGACAAGTCAAACTAAATAATTCATCACAAATTTTTGCATTTGTAGGTTAGATTGGGATTTAAAAAGAAAAAAAGCACCGTGTGCTGAAGTCTAAACAAGTACAAGGGTTGGAACTATCATTACTTTATATACGACTAAACGCCAAGAAGCTAGAAACAAATTTGAGGAGGATTTTTACAAATTTTTAAACAACTGTGTTCATGGGAAAACATGCGAGTCAAAGCGCAAACGGATGCTCGTTTGCATGAGAAATCAAGGAACTGCAAGACATTCAATTAGTAAGAACAAGAAGTTACTGCAGAACTTCTGTGACAAGTCAAATTATATAATTCATTGCAAAATTTTGCAATTGTAGGTTAGATTGGGATTAAAAATTTAAAAAGGCACCGTGTGCTGAAGTTTGAACAAGGAGCATGATTGGAACCATATATTACCCTAAATACGACTAAACGCCAAGAAGCTAGAAAAAAATTTGAGGAGGATTTTTACAAACTTTTAAGCAACTGTGCTTATACGAAAACCAGCGAGTCAAAGCGCAAACGGATGCTCGTTCGCATGAGAAATCAGGAAACTGCAAGACATTCAATTAGTAAGACCAAGAAGTTACTGCAGAACTTGTGTGACAAGTCAAACTACATAATTCATCACAAATGTTTGCAATTGTAGGTTCGATTGGGATAAAAAAATTTCAAAAGGCTCCGTGTGCTGAAGTTTGAACAAGGAGTATGGTTGCAACCAAATATCACTCTAAATACGACTAAACGCCAAGAAGCTAGAAACAAATTGAGGAACATTTTCACAAACTTTTAAACAAGTGTGCTTATAGGAAAACATGCGAGTCAAAGCGCAAACGGATGCTCGTTCGCATAGTTAGAGATTATCAAGAAACCATTCTAAAAAACTGTGCATTCGAGTTCAAATCCTACAAAAATTCTGGGGGAAAACTTGGCAGCGTTCACTTCGAATCCAACAAAAACTTACTGGGATGAGCCGACAATTGTGGGAGCTAGTGTTCTCGAATTAGCGAAGTTTGGCATGTACAAATTTCATCATGTTAGAGTGAAAACAACATTTGATTCAACTTCTCTATTCTGATACGGACCGTCTCCTTTACGAAATCAAAAGTAAAATTTATACCGCAAAATTCCGAAAAAAAAACATTTTGAATGAACATGACCTTTCAGATTATACAAAGAACCACCCTCTCTACAATCCAAAAAACAAAATGGTTGTTTTAAAATTCAAGGCCGATTATCCATGGGACATAATAACCGAGTTTAGATCCCTCAAACCCACTTTATCAACAGATAATCATTTATCTGCCTTTATTTATATTTTAATTTACTTTTTGGCAAAATTCGTTAGTTTTTGAATTTGTTTTGGCAGAATTTTTTTTTGGTCGGCGAAAACTTCTTAGTCTGATTTTAATAAAACTTTTGAGCGGGAAATTTTTCTTTCACTTTTTGTCGACGAGAGTTTTTTTGATGACCAATTTTGATTTTTTGGACATTTTTGATGCTCACTGAGTTTTAAGGTCATATTTTACCTTCAGGCCACTTTTTGTTGCACCTGGTCTTCCAGTTGATGTAGCAGCCACGAAAAAAAAGTTTCATATACTTTTACCACTCATTAGCGATCATCGTTAAATGGGTTAGTAATCAATTTTTTTATATTTTAAGTCCGCAGAAAACTATCATCTAGTGTGTATCAAAAGCTGCTCGGAAGATGTTGACTCATCGGCAAAATGAGACACCTTGAACTCTGGCTCGTTATTCAAAACTGAAAGCAGTCGAATCACATCCGAGTCACACAACCGGTAAACTGTGACATCGACGAAAACATCGTTCGCAGCTTTTGATGGCAAACGTTACATCATCCATGAGGGTCAACAGACTCTTCCCTTGGTCATAAAAAATAATCTTGGGTCCAACCGCGACTGGCATTGATGATAGCGACTATAACAACGCTGCCGCAGAATCGGATCCTATTGATGATGACGATTTGGAAAAATGGATTCCTTTTTCTGAAGATGGTCAACACCCAGTGTCCTGCGATTGTGAGGATCTCACAGAAGGGGTGTCTGAAGAATTCGCTGAAAATCAAAACGTTGATTGGTACCATCCGGATATGATATGATGACTACTCTGAGGATAGCTTTGCTGTTAAAAACACACAACCACATCGTTCGCTTCGACAACTCATGGACCAAGTGAATAGCAGTTGACAAACTCCAGACCCTGGTATGATTCGGGCAGCAGAAATCATGGACAGTGATATAGATAGCGGTGATATCGCCGATATGGAGGCCAATTCTTCCGACGACTACGAGTCGTCATTCTTCAACGGATCGTTTATCGATTATGAAGCAGTTGAAGAACCACAAGCAAAAAATCAACGAAAAAATTAGAAGACAAAAAAAAACATTTCAACTTTTCAGTGATTTAAAAACGAGCATTGGGTGTACCTAAGACTTGACCTACCGCTATTCCGTGTATAGTGTGTATTTAAGGGCGTGTTTTTTTCCAGTTTTAGAACCCAGTTAAAGGGAGATAAAAACCATTTCAATTAAACGATTGTGTTTCTAGCATACTTTTGAAACTATTTGTACGTAAATTGAAATTGAATCAATTTTTTAAGAAAATTTTACAGAAAAGGAAATAGCGCAGTGAAACATATCAGTTGTTAATGGAACGAAAATTGAGCTAATTCATTCCAACACCAAACTTATAAACACAACGTTTGATGGGAAACTCAATAATAAATCGAAAATTTACTTGAGGACGAATAATTAGAAAATGGTGACTTTTAGGGTTTTTACATGGTGTCCATTGGTTGTCAGATAAAACATGGTAACCATTAGGATCTATACCGAATGGTCATCCATATAAAACAACCCACCCCGATCATAGTGTACTATATGCATACCACTTAAGGCAATAAACTCAGGAAATAACCGAACCATCTGAATCAGAAACGGCTAAACAAAAACGTTTATTGCTGCCGCAAAAAAAATCAGTTTTGGCGGAATACTTCCTCCTTTCCAGCGAAAGAGTTGTCAAAAATTTGAGCCATATCGCGTTGTAATCCAATTAGAGTTTTGAATCTTGAAGCTCCGCTCTTTACAAAGTCCTTTGGAGTTCTTTAGGAAACGCGTCACAAGTATGATGGCAGAGCTTCCAGTAGAGTGGTTTAGTTATCGCCAGCCATCCTTCACAAATTGTAGCGTTGATTTCATCTGACCCTTTTACGTCTCAATCAGGAATATTTCTGAGAAGCGATGATACTTCTTTTTTACATGTATGACGACAAGGTCTAGATACAATGTGATGTTCCCATCCATGTTCACGAACTCATGTGTAATGAGACTCAAAAATTTCGTTACCCAAGGCGGTATTCTTTCAGTCATTTGGTCAGACAAGGGCACACTCTACGAGGGAGCAGAGAAAGAACTCTTGATTTGTTTTTAGTCGTGAATAGCACAAGCATCCGCAGAACTGTTAAAAGAAGGTTTTAAAAAATGTTCAATCCTCGCGGTGGTTCTTGAGAAGGAATTGTTGGGTAATGCAATAGAGTGTTCTATGCATCAATTGAAGTAGGAAATTTAATCCTGAATTTTTTGAATCTTTTTTTGTTGCGTAGACTAATCACTGCAAGCTCGCACTATATTATTGTTAGGTGCAAATCTGAATGGTTTTGAGGTGTTGACTTCTTTTAAGTTTTTGGTACTGGCTTCCCTTCTTTCTCTTTTCAGGAGCACTTCGACTATCGAATGCAATAAAGGTAAGCACAAAATGCGCCTATGCAATTCGGAGTTGCTGGCTCCGAATTTTGTACCCGCTATGAAGTTGCAGTAATTGGCCTTTCGCTTGTGACGTTCTTTGAAATACAGAGGATTTAGTGTAATTTGGTGAGGAATGCAGCCCAAAGGGACACTAAGCTTTGGCTTTTATTAAAACTACTAATTAAGGAAAAAATAAAATAGTCCGCACCGGGGAACGCGACAAGCCGTACAACTCCGTTTTTGCCGTCCGTTTTTGCTCCATTGGGGATGTATGCGCTTAAGTTAAAAAAGTCATATGGTGCAACAGTGAGCTATAATTGGACTTTCTAACACAAACAAAATCCATTTTCTGTCCAATTAAGGTCCGGTTGAATAAAAAAATTACAGGTTTTTGCATTTGAGGAGAGTTTTCCAATTTTTTTTTAGCCGGAAAATGGTTAATTCATTTTTTTTTTCGTGATTATAAGTTGTTATTTAATTAAATTTGACTTTTAAGTTAAACTGCCGAAAACTTACATATATTGAACCAGGTTTATCAGCTTGAGTCTTTCATGTGAAGGTAACTTTATTATCTCACGTATTCTTGTTTGGCATCTCGCAAAAACTGAACTAGCGTGTGGGCCGTTTTGGGCCTGCAACTTCCCTTCTCAGTACTTCCTGCACTTCAAAAAAAGTATCATTATTTTATATTATTTACAGTTACTAACGTTTGCTGGTTAATGAATCAAAATTAAAATAAGAACTTTATACTACTAGTTTGATGGAACCATTTTTCTATCAAAACTGTTTAGAGCTGAATTGAAAAACAAGAACAAATACTGTTGAAAGATGTAATAAGCAATGGAGAGTCTGAAATAATTCACTGCAATTGTTTTAAATTGAGGACTTTATGGCAATGTGAATCTTGGTTCGAACTCAAGTTTCAAAATACTTGGGTTACCCTTATAGACTTCAGTAGTTTCAGAGAGCGCAAACACAGATGAGTTGTCTATTCTGCAGTAAACCATTGTATTTTTCAGAGGTGGAATTTCCTCCATTTTCTTCAATTCAGTCTCTCCTTCTTTTCCCAGCTGGTCCAATTCTTTTTCAAAGCCAATTCTGAAGAAAGTAGCATTCCTAGAAAGTTCCGTCGCAAATAGATACCAGTCTAGACAATTTGAGGAACCAAACTCTGATGAGGGTATCCAAACCAAGGAGAAAATGTAACTCAAACCAGAGAGCCTCACATATTTAATAGAATGAGGTTGTATTTCTCGTGTTGTTGTATTTGACGATGTGTTTGTTTTTATATCCTCTTGGTGATGTGATGGTAGAGATATCACTGCTAATTTGTTTGAATCCCAGCCACACTGGAGTATCAACGTGGTATCATTCACAAGAAGACTACTACTACTCCAAACCCCGCTTCCGTATGTCTTTATATCAAGTGGTACTGTGTACTGTCTGACTTGATCGAAGTAGACTGTCATACTGCACCATTTCTTCTGCTTCTCTGTTCTCCTATCAAACACTGCCACTATTAAGATCTTTTCATATGCACACAAGAACCAAACAACTGAAGAATCTCCATTGAGAAGTTGGGTTGTGTCTAGTTCTTTTATCATCTTTAGATTATTCTGATTCACAATCTCAACACTCCATTTCCGATCGCTTGTTCTATATAATGACACATAAAGATTATTGTCGATGTCTGTGGCAATATCAAACACGGAAGTTGCATCATTTCGCATTTGTTTCCACTCCATCTCTCTTTTCAGTTCTATCTGATTATTGTTCTCGTTATGATAAAACACACGGAATGATTGTTGAAAAAGGGTAATTATCTCCTCCGTATCTGAGTTATAAACTACGCTGCTAGCGTCAATAACTATTCCGCTTGCATCTGCAATTTTCTTTACCCCGATCAACTCTCTCTTCCTTGCCTCCTCTCCAGGTTTTTTCTCTTTCTGATTTATCCTCTCTGCTTCACCCTGTGATTCATCAAAACTAGTAGAAATGCTTTCCTGATTTGAAGTTCCTGCACTCAGAACAAGTCTGTCAACCCCACTCGCAAAGTTTTCTGCATCAAGTGATGAGTAACCGCCTTCTGCAAACGCAGTTTGCGATCTGGAGCAGGAAACCGTGTTATCTCTAGTCAGAATGAATTCTCCAAAAATTATGGCATATTTTTGTTCTAATTCGCGGAACTGATCCGTTATTTTTGCTTTGAAAGCTTCTAGGGATTGCTTGTGATCCAAAAGCTGTTTTCTTACGGCTGCAGACTTGTCTTCGAGCTGCTTAGCGGAATTTGACTTTAAAACGCTCTTTTGTTCGTTTTCAGCTGTTGTTATCTGTTTAACTATTGTTTTCCAGTCGTTGGAAGCCAGAACTTGAGTTGTTTTTTGAATTTCGGCTTTATATTCTGTCAGTCGCTGCAGGGTTAATTTCTGGGGCTCCAAGTTCACAGTGAGAAAACTTACGTTATGCTTCTTCCAATCCATATGATTCTGCTTCCAACATAGCTCGCATATCGCTATTTTGCAGATATTGCAAAAATAGCGAACGGTTTCTTCGGGATGTTTCTCGCAGAAAACGACAGACTGGAGTTCTATGTAAGGAACAGTGGATGATGCAATTGAAGCTGCAGTCGATGGTCGTTCTAAAATACAGAAAGAAAACATTAAAGGCAGAACTTTTGTGGTGTTTGGGCTCTCGGAAATCACTAACCAGGACATCAAATTTAACGTCTTTCTCTTGTTTCACTCAATTCAGCGTTTTGAGAAGTTTTCAAGTTACGAGGCAAAAGTTTGCACTCGATGGGCTTTTAATATGTTGTATGAAGATCATTGGAATCCTAAGTGGAATTTGCAAAATTGTAAGCAAATGTTTTAAAATGTATTAAGATTCGGCAGACAATTTGCGGGTTTTGTTTACAGTTCGCGGATTCTGCGTACAGCTGCGGACTTCACGTTAGTTCAATTTTACGATATTCATGTTATAATTTGTTTGTGGTTTCTAGATTCCTAGATTCCGCAACTTTTTTTTTGATTCCGCGATCTTTTTGCGGATTTGAAAAGTTTGACTCCTGATGAAACTTTTTTCTTTGACAGATTTTTCAGAATAAACATTACATAACACAACTCTGTATTACCCGCACCGAGCGCCTATGGATCATAATCAATTATATTGTCGTAATATGGTCAGCATCTATAAAATTACAAAATAATCGATTATAATCGATTATAATGGATTTTTTCGAGCGGTTATTCATTAAATTTACAGTTTTGTTCAAAATTATCTCATTCCCTGTTTAGTGTAGTTGCTACGTGTTATGTTTCATAAAATGTTACCTTTTTCTTATTCATCGCAGATTAACACTTCATTTTAATCCCCCCCAGCCAGTTAAGCCCCCAGTACCCAGTATACTACCATTCACCAGTTTACTACCCCCCCCCCCCAAGTTTAAAAACCCCCCACCCCTACCGCCATTTATGCCACCCCCCTCCAGTTTACCTGCCCCTTTTGGGTAAGAAAGCTTGAGGGGGCGAGGGGATGACCAGTTTAACCCCCCTCCCCCGGTTTATTAAACCCCACCCCGTTCGGTTTATTTACTCTCCCCCCAGATTTATTGAACCCCCCCTCCCGGTTTACTTGTTTACTTCCCCATCCCCCAAGTTTATACCCCCCAGTTAACACCCCTCCCCCCAGTTTACCCTGCCCCTTTAGTTTGGGAGGAGGGGGGTTTGTAAAAAGCTTGAGGGGGCGAGGGGACGAAGTTGAGACAGGGCATTTAGTAAAAGACAGGGCATAAATTCTGCAAACTTCTCGCAAAATTTGCAAATTTTTTTAAAAAAACAATCGAATTTAGTTCTAAAAATTAAATGAATTATAATCAATTATAATGGATTAGAATGGATTTTCATTTCAAAATAATCTATTATAATGGATTATCTTGGCGAAAATAATCGATTTCAGTGACAAAAATAATGGATTACAATCGATTCGAATGGATTATAATGGATTATATTTGTTCAAAAATAATCGATTATAATAACTATATAATCGATTTCGTTGTCTGAATTTTACACCCGTAATGGATTATAATCGATTTTTTTGTCTCGGGAATACATTTTAATCCATTAGAATCCATGGGCGCTCGGTGCGGGGACATAGAAGCCTTTTCTGGTTTGTATAGGTCAGTGGAATCCAGGGATTAGACACGAAGTAAATTGATATCGTCAAAATTTTGTCGGCCAGACAAAAGGAAACAGGATAAAAGAATTATCGAAGAGGGCGGTCTTATAACGGTACTCTGTTACAATTCGCAAAACAAAAAAAAATGGCTAGTTCAGTAAATTCCTAGATGAAAATTCTTTTTTTTCAGACATTGTATCCAACATGTTGTTACTGCTTTGGAACAGTTTCTTGATACTTGAAAGCATCTTACTAAATTTTTTCCTTCCAAATCACATTTTCAACTCTATATCAAAACCATTTAAGAAAACCTTTTAATGGTCTTAGACAATTATTTTATCTTGTATCAAGTTTTTTATTAAACTTAATACTTTTTTAGATTTGCAAAATCACATTTATTCGAAATACTTGCAGAGAGAACAACACAACCGAGAAAAAAAATTTTTTGTTCATTTGCTTGTTGAAATCCTAAAGAGTGCTAATGATTTGATCTGTTCGTGAGATATAAAAAGGACGAAACGCTATATGTGATTCTCAACCAAACATAAAAGAGTATCACGCTTATCATCGAAATAAATTCAATTAAGAAGTTTTGTCTTGAAGTTTTTGAAAAAAAAAATTGGATATAACCATTTCCTGCTTTTCTCTTCTGCATTGAAATAAAAAGTGTAAGTCAAATGTTTTGGTTTCGTTCCTGTTTATTGGCCGTGCTTAAAAAAACTTTTTCATAAGTGCCCTCTGATATTAGTCAAGCCGACTTTCTCCGTTTTTTTTTCCATGGTGCTCCTCTTCTCTCTGATTTAAAATGCCAGGTCCTACCTTGCAGTCTTCTCCACGCAATTTTATAACTGAGATAAGAAGAGTTTACTATCTTTAAAAATCTAGATATATCATGATCATCTGAGCAGCAACAGGCCTATCTTCATCTGTGTCTGTTCAGTGATTTGATGACGTTGTTCGAGAAACGGATCCCTTCTCCTTTGTTAAAATCAAAATAAAGTCATCGTATTGTTTTTGAAACTTGCCTATACTCTATTCTCTTGATGTTTTCTTGGATCCCCTTCTTTTTTTTGATTTTTGCAAATGTATGGTTGATCTTCGCTTGCTGGTTTGTTTCTCTAAACGTATTAAGCGTCTTCTTTTTTCTCTGATGATTGCGTATCAGATCTTTTTTATCCGTTTTAAATGTCAAATTTTTTGTCCGTGTATTGGCTGAATTGATTCCACTGCGTTTTTCTCAATTACATCGTTGGGCACTGTTGTGTATGTTTTTGTTCTGACATTCGTAACAAAACTAACAGAAAAAATTGTGCTCGGGTTGGGATTTTTTCTTCAGACAATTTTCGCCTTTTTAACTAGCCGACTTCGACGAATCTTTTTAAACATCATTCAAAAGCGTATTGTTGTTCTAAGCTTAAATTTGAAAAAATATCAATATTTTTCAACTGCAATCACTATTTGTGAAGTTATGGGGGTTTAACTATTGCCATTTTGGCTAATTTGAGACAATTCACGCGAGATTTATTTCGCGCTATTAACGATATACGGAGATTTAGGCAGTCTTATGAATTGTTCCAAATTGGTTAAGGGAAGCTTATTTGCACTAATTGATTTCTTAAAAGCGAAATTTATCACTTTGTACTTTATATGATGGGTGGTAGGGTGATTTTCACAAAAAAAAAGTTCTCAAGTTTATATATTTTTTTATTTTTATTTCGTTACATTTTTTTCAAGTTATTAATGCTCCGTAGACCTTAAAAGGCAAATGGAACCTTCAGACCTTCCCTCTGATACGAGCAGTCTTGTTTTCTTTTGTTTCTGATTTGTGTTCTGTTGATGTCTTTCATTGTTTTACTTGCTGGTTTCGTGTTTTTCTTCTACCCTGCAGTAGTTCACCCACTCATACACACACACGCACGCACACACACACACACTCGTGCACACATGCTTCCACACAGTCTCTCTTTCTCTCTCTCTCTTTCACACACACACACACACACACACACACACAGACACACTTTCTCATTTTCAAATGGCATGCATTATGAAAAACCGCTGTCAACGCTTTCTGAGTTACCGGCTGGCTCTAGGCGTTTCATCGCCGTGTTGATTTGCGAGCTCCGTTTTCCATACTAGTGTCTGCATAACCGCAAGTGTTGCATAACCGCATAACTCTAAAGATGTGTATCTTTCGTTTCCTTTCGAACGCATGCTTTTTGTCATTATCCGCTTTCAATTATAAATTTTGATGCAAGTGATTCCTACTATTTTTCGCAGATATTCTTCAAGTTTCTTTTCATCTTCATAGATATTTATGTGTCACGACATTTTCCAATATTATGTCGATAGAACTAACAATCTTCATGATGAACATGGTTTCGCTTTGATTGATTAAAAATTTCAGCTTGTGCTCCTCAGCCGATTCTGATTTGTTTCTCTCCTCGCAAGAAATAGCACCTTTAATGAATGGTTCTCATGAACAAAAAAAAACACCTTTTATTCGTGCTTAAAAACGTATCATATTTGAAGTCAGTGAGTACTTCCACTGCGTTTTTCTCAATTACATCGTTGGGCACTGTTGTGTATGTTTTTGTTCTGACATTCGTAACAAAACTAACGGAAAAATTGTGCTCGGGTTGGGATTTTTTCAGTGAGTACTTTCTACAAGTCTTTGATTATTTCTTTCTTTTGAACTTGCGGACGCTTTTGACATTTTTCATTACACAATTGGTACTTTTTTTCTGTTTTTCCCAGCCATATTTACAAATCTTCTTTACATGGTCAATGCTGATGCAGCGATTACGTATGAGTAGTTTGTTATGAAAGCAGACAATTGTCCTTTGCAGCCAGGTGCTTCCGCGTACACGGGAAGAACACTCAGCTAGTTCATCATTTATCGGCCGATTGGATTATCTGATTTTAATGTCCTCTATTCGCTGTTGTTCGTTGTTTTTGTTTTCTTAAACTTTTTGGCTGTTTGATCCCAAACCCTCGTTCGAGGGAACTGCTATAATATTCCTCCCCACTTTCCTTTTCTGCAGTTTCATTTTCGGTAAACTGATAGCAACTTGCGTACCTATTCATAGTCGCCAAAGTGTTTTTAGTAACAACGTTCCTTTTTTCATTATGTCTTGTAGCAGCTTTTCTAGTTGAATGCTATATGTTTTCAAAAAAATTGATTTGTCCCGAGGATTTGCTATGTTTACACGAAGACAGTTCTCCTATTCCGCGGGCAACTGATTTTTCATGCGTTCTCGGAAAAACTTTAATGTCTCAACCAATATTTTGGCAGTGGAAAACATTTCACTTTTCCATAATTCTTGATTATATCTAAACTGACATCATTCGCGAACTTGCGATTTCTCAAGCAATCTAAACGGGATTTTGAAATCCTGGAAAAGACAATTTAATTTTCTGGTTGGTTTGTACTATTTTTTTCTGTGGATTTCCCCTTAAGAGCCAGAT